TAATACAAACGTGACGAAGTAAATTTTGAGAAGATAAAAAGAATAAAATTGTAAAAAATTTAATTATTTACATTAAAAAGTATTATCCCTGTTTATTTAGTTTATTATCTATTTTAATATCGAATAGAAGGTTTCATTATTTATTATTAGAACATCTTACATTATTCAAAATCTTTCAATCTCTTAGCAAAAAAAAAAATATATAATCAATATTTTACGTTCATGAAAGAATGATGCAATATCTGAGTATATGCACATATACAATACCTAATAAAAATTATATAAACTAATTATCTTAAACCTAATATTCAAAGTAAAATAAATAAATATAATTAAGGCCATGTGTATAAATTGAAAGTAAATTATATTATTAAATAAAATCTCTCTTCCTCAGCGAAATGTCTCCAATTTAAAGATGCTCTTAAATTTTAATCAATTATTCGTTTTATGTCATCTACACGCTAAGTATTTAGATACAAAACATTTGCTCGTTTATCTCCACGTAAAATTGATTGACGACATTGATTGTTTTTAGCTCTAGACTCTAGGGCTAGAGGTGTAATACTTTTTCGAGAAACCGAGAGACGTCGTCTCAAGTGCTCGGAACGAGTGACGAGCGATGTCTCGCGCAGATTTGGTTCGATCTCGTAGAGATCCTGCGGATCCTGCGGAAGAAGATACACCTCGCTTCTCGATGCGTCAATGTCGTCAGTATCATCGCAAGTGGAGGAGATTGCGATCACCTAGTTCGTCGCTCGTGCGTGCTGCATCGGTGACCCATGCACAGCGAAAGTTCTTTTGTTCGCTGATGAATCAAGGTATCATGCGCTTACGCGATTCGCATTTACGAAACGCTCCACAAAAGGGCAATAATTGTAATATATAGCGTGTATAATACTCGTTTGATGCTTGCGCGTAAAAACAGAACCCATCATTCCCGCATGACGAATTCTCTCACTTTTAATACCACTTACCAAAATATTTTTCGTCAGAACAAGATCTCATTGTAATTGTTACTGAACGGTGCTTGAAAACAATAGGAAAATTAAATATTTACAACATTTTAGACAAGATATATAATACATGTACATAGCAAAATAAATTATATAAGCATGTGTATATATGTACATTACATCGTCTATTATATATTATAACTTCAATATTCGAATTAAACTGAAATATTTCTATTTATATAAGATATTGCTCTACTAAAAGTTTACCCGTTATACACTTTCAACGACTGCAGATCTTTGTTTGTACATAGCATGAATACTTGGTATATACCTATAGAACTGATGACGTTTAATGTAAAAAGTACGGGCTTGACTGTGCCCAGCGCACACTCCGTATATATAATACGTCAGTCTCTCTTTCTCTCTCTGATTCATCCGCGACGCCGGGGCCGGGGCTCTCATAAACGCGTTCGATCCCGTGGAGCTCACGTGCCGTAAATTATTCGGTGAGAATAGGAGAGGAGCTGTGTCGTGACGCATGCGCCAGCACGCTCGGTGCAGAAATTAAACCTGCTGCGAGGATCGTCCGCGATCCAAATAACTTGTCACGAAGAAACAGGTTTCTACGGGCGTCGCACACGTGCGCTCGCGCGCGCACAAATAGACCGACGGGGTGGGGGGGTGTGTGTGGTGTGTATATTGTGCAGATAGATATAGATATTCTCAAATAGACATTCTCAAATACACGACGCGACGCACCGCGGATTCTCGATTCTTCCACTACTATCGTATACTACGAATTTTCTTGCTAAGAAGGATAACATAATCGATCTCTCTAATCTAATAAAATTCTATTATAATGAAATATTAAAATACGATTAAATCATTAGCGTGATAACGTAATTTTATTATATAATCCAAACGAAAAATAAAAGATGTGAAATATTAAAAATGTCAGAAATTTTAATTCCTCGCTATAGCATCACACAATTGATCTCTTAATTTATTAACGTAATTAACAGAAAATTAGGTTAACCTTAAAATATGAATTATTTAGGAGATTAAATTGAGATATTCAAATCGGTTTGCCTGTGCGGTTTATAGTTGCAGAATTAAAATGTAGTAAAGTCTTTTTCTGCGGTCCACAAGCGAAAGTCTCAAAGTAAGTCTAATCGCACGGCGTTTACGTGCAATTAGCGGACGTTAAGTTGGGCGGCGATATGAGACGATCCGCGAAACGCCGTCACAGAAGCGGATAACGATCCGCGAGTATTTACGTCGCCGATTGATTAAAACGACTCCGACGGTCATCTACCTTTTGCGCCGATGTCTATTTTCACGTAGATTCCGTATAACTCGCGCGGTCGATGCATTTATATTTCAAATTTACAATTCACACACGCACGCACGCATACACGCACGCCACGCCACGCCACGTCATGTCACGTCACGCATGCGATTTCGCGTCAGCCGCGCATAACACGGAACCTAATTGTATTTTCACCTACGCCTTCAACCGGCGAGCGATCGTACGTTTCTAACGCTTTTCCCTTTTTCCTTTTCCTACCTTCTCCCTTTCCCCTCTCCCCTTGCCGACGGTATGATGAAATCGAACGGCCAATAACGCTTCGTAAAAGAAAGAAAAAGGAATTGCTCGCTCGGTCGTACTGATTATGAGCGTGAATGCGTGCTAAATCTGTCCTGACAACTTCTTTTATTTTACTAAACAAAGATTATGTTGAAATAATTTATTTACTTATAATGTGAAACGAAATCGTTTCAAACGTACAATCAAGATGCGCTTTTACATCTCCTACTTGAAACTATTGGAATATTCATTTAAAGTTTCTTAGATCCTTTTTTTTCTTTTTACATTATAGCAAAAATGTTTTGAAAAAATTGAAGTAAAAAAGTTACTTGTAAATTTTTATTTTTAACAATAGTTTCTGAAATAATAAGTTGAAATATAGCCAATTACAGACTACGTCTGGTTATACCTGTGAATATTACTGAGCACGCTGAAATGTGCACTCAACAGCGCTGACTAATACTTATATACATATGACTGTCATATAGTCTGTAATTAACCATTTTTAACTCCTTGTTGTCTCAATTACTATTATCTTAACTGCTTAAAGTAAAAATTTACAAATAACTTTTTTACTTAATTTTCTTCTTGTAATATTTTGAGTCGCAAATTTTGAAACACCCTGTATATAAAATTGTTCTATCCAAATTGGTCGATCAAATTAAAAAAATTGTTTTCTAATACAGATAGATAAACTGCGTTCGATCAACTGCTTGTTCAACAAAAAATGAATAATTAGATATCTATACTGTTAGGTTCATAACTTCAAATTTTACTCAATTTCAGTTAGTTTTAATCATTTCTGTAAGTCGCCATTGCTTCTACTCAATGAGTATTCGGTCATTTAATCGATTCTTAATATTTAAGACTGTTTTAACTTTTTAAGTATAATCTTAAGATGTCACGAACCAATCAGAGGATCGTATTAGCATCTTAAAACGTTTTTTAAAACGCTAATGAAATAAAAACGCATGAATACCGACTTATACATATATATCGTTAATTTAATTTAAACAATAAAGTTAAACAATTTAATTAAAGAAAAAAATATTAAATTTGATTCAATTTTATTAATTATTTGTTAAATGAATATGTTAATGTAAACGTTATTCACTTTGAAACTGCAGAAAAGGACTGATTTACAATGTATGTAAATTATACAATACATTACAATAAATGAATGTTACATTTTTATTCAGTATCATCGCACGTCGCGTTATCAGCGGCAACGGGTACAATGATACAATCGCCGACGACGCAACGAGATACGATCCGCAAGAGTGAACTTTTCCCATTGTGTTACGCGAAAGCGACTCTCGCACGCAATAACTCTTAATACGAAGGAGGGGAATCGGCCGAGGCTTACGTGGCTTACGTCGCTTACGTCGCTTACGTCGCTTACGTCGCTTACGCCGCG